GTACTACACATGCTTCGGTGTACAACATCTTTTGTTGTGGTGTAGCACTACACATGCTTCGGTGTGCAACATCTTTTGCTGTGTTGTGGTACTACACATGCTTCGGTGTACAACATCTTTTGTTGTGGTGTAGCACTACACATGCTTCGGTGTGCAACATTTTTTGAGGTCATTATGTATTGATAAAATTATGTTTAATACATTCTACTCGCTTTTAAAGGGTTTGCAGACAAAGGTATTCAAGCACAAGTTATCAAATGTTCACATAATGTTGTAAAATGTCAATACCGTCCAGTTACCTCGTTTTCGTTGTTGAATTTGAAAAACAAGAAACATTAAAAAACAAGTAATATTGAGTGTGATTAGGCCTACTTATTTTTAGGGCAATTTCGAAGAGTGAAAGACAACTGCTTTCGACACTTATTTAGACTGATGTGTAAGTCTTAGAGTTTATTATTTGGTTGAAATAAAAAAGAAAGATATATTAATGATCTCTACCCAGGTTGTTTTGAGACTAATCCTATAACTCAAACAAACTTACATGAAAAAAAAAAGAAAACGAAAAAAAAATACAATAAGTACCTTTTTACTGTATTTATTATAAGCAAATCCTTCCTCACCATATCTAAAATACATAATTACATGCAATTGTTGTTGTTTTTCTCTTTATTTTAAAAACAAAATTAGTAAATTAACATTCCAAAGAATAACATAAATCAACAAATGAGGATGGTAAATTGAAGAACTAAAAATGCGAAACGAAAAGTCGTTCCTTTTTCGTTGCGTTCGTGTATTTTAAAAATTCCTCAAAACAAAAAAGACAATGACAATGGATTTGTTGTACTACTTTCTACCATAATAACACTCCGAGTTCGTCTGTCCTGAGAATGCGCGCGCATTCGATTTCAACGGAAGTAAACAAAAGGATGATGTAAATATATTTTAGTTGACATTTTGTAGAACAACATATTAAAAACTTATCCAGGTTTTTAAAAAGGTCTAATGTTAAGTCGTAAAATAACATTATAAGTTTATTTATTGATAGTATTAAGTACAATACAGTTTAGCCCTAACTGAACTAAAGCAAAAAAAAGTACACAAGTTACAGTGTTAATTTATCTGTTTATCGAATATAAGTCATACTTAATAAAGGCGTAACTAATGTCATGTCTAAAACAAGTGAACTTATAGATTTTGGTGTCTGCGATTAGAATTATTTTGTATTATTCCAGAAATCTTGTATTTAAAGAAGTACTGTTGCAATAAAGATACTGATTTGACTGTTTTGCGAGTCTCTGCTAGTAAGTAATGTTTAGACTGAGTAAGCACATTGAATAAACTTTTATTGTATTTTTAACGATACAACTAATTGCAAAAGGTGTTCCTTTGTTTACACAGCTTTAGACAAACAAATTTTTACTGTTTTGCGTTCATTGGTGTCTAATAAGATTTTAAGTACGACAAATATAACTAGTTGATTAAGCTCTTTAAGTTGTTCTGGATATTGAAAGGTAAGAACAGTTGCGTTCATTTCTTCACAACATAGTTCCATAAAATTAGAAAACTTTTATTCTCGAATAAATGCATGTCTTATATATATAGAAAATTATTCAACAACGCACACATAAAAATAGTGCCTTCTAGTTCATGGTTATTATTTCTGCATATACAGAGTAAGCTGTGTGAAGTTAAAAGTCAAACGTCTCATTATAGTGTACAGGAGGAAAGGCTGGGCAGGTTCGGAAGAAACAGAAAAAAACGAACTAACGGAATAAGTATAAAATTCAGAATGTTTATCAGAGAATTACTAATATCGATCAACAGCACATGAGCCTCCTGGCCTTAACAAATATAAAACAATCAGCTGACCAAAAAACAACTCAGGTGAAAGGTACCAAGAACTATATTCCAAACAAAATATTGGCGAAGACCATGTGGATTAGATAACCAGACCACGTGAAAGGTGAAAGCTAGTTAAAGTGAGCCCTATATAGTAAATAGCCAGACCATAGGAAAGACGACTACTTGAAGTGGGCCTTGAAGATTATATAGTCAGACAATAATGTAGGCTAAGACTACTTGATGTGAGCCTTGTACATTAGATAGCCAGACGACAATGTAGGCTAAGACTACTTGAAGTGAGCCTTGTAGATTAGATAGTCAGACGACAGTGTAGGCTAAGATTACTTGAAGTGAGCCTTATAGATTAGATAGTCAGACAACAATGTAGGCTAAGACTACTTGAAGTGAGCCTTGTAAATTATATAGTCAGGCGACAATGTAGGCTAAGATTACTTGAAGTGAGCTTTATAGATTAGATAGTCAGACAACAATGTAGGCTAAGGCTACTTGAAGTGAGCCTTGTAGATTAGAGAGTCAGGCGACAATGTATGCAAAGCCTACTTGAAGTGAGCCTTGAAGATTAGGTATTCAGACATCAATGTAGGCGAAGCCTACTTGAAATAAGCCTTGTAGATTAGAAAGTCAGACAACAATGTAGGCGAAGCCTAGTTGAAGGAAGTCTTGTAGATTAGATAGTCAGGCGACAATGTAGGCAAAGAATACTTAAAGTGATCCTTGTAGATTTAGATAGCTAGATCGCAATAGAGGCCAAGACTACTTGACCTTGCAGATCAGATAGCAGGTCATAAGAAAAGCGAAGACTACTTGAAGTAGGCCTTGTATATTATATAACCAGGTCACAATAGAAGAGAAACCTTGCAAATTGGACGATCAAATCACAGTATAGGCAAATACTATTAGAGTGAATCTGGAAGAAGAAATAGACTTAAAGTTAACCTTTAAGGTTGTATAACCTTACCGCAATAAAAGCGAAGCCTAAATGAAGTGGTCCTTGTATAAGCGAAGAATATGAAAAAAAGACTCTTTGTTCCAATAAAATCACAACAAATTTTATTTATGTTGACTTGCAGGAGAGCATATTGTCCCTCATTATCTAGTGAGGGTTACTAAATAATGAGTAACATTACTAAGCAGGTATTTGGTTTTAGTTTCGGGGACATTAAGAAACTTGATAGTATTATCGTGAAAGAGCATCACGCCTTATTCGACAAGAGACTTATTTTAGATCAAAAGTTTTCACTTCATCACGTCAGTAATATATCACGTGTCCAAAAAGTGTAAGAAGTAACATGGAGAAAAAAAGGGGGGCATGACCTTTTTTATGGAAAAGATATGGCAACACAAATTTTTGGTCACAAAATTATTTTTTAATTACAAAAAGCTTGTCAAAGCCTAGATGGGATGAAAGAAATGTTTGGTCAATGCATACACTTGTAAAAACTATTATTCGTATCAAGAACTAATATCTCACAGATTTATCTTTTCAATGAAATGTTTATTTATTCTTCAGTGCTCTTGTCTCACGTGTATTATTTTAATTTCTTTATATGTGTTGTGGTTACTAACTTCATTGTCCCCGGATGGGACAGTGATAACCTTAAGGACTTACAACGCTAAAATCCAGGGTTCGATTCTCCGCATTAGTACAGCAGATAGCTCAATGTAGCTTTACTCTAGAACAAATAAACTTCCTTAAAATTAATATAAAAAAAAATGTTTTGCTTCGTATTGTGCTATTTTATATTCTTTAGTTTGTACCTACAACAAATAATATTTCTATGTTCCTTTTTAAGTACTTACGTTTATGGCGGCATTCTTATAATTAATTATTATATTTTGTTGATCATAATTAGCCCGATGTGGGCAAAATTACACAGGTTAACAAACGTAATTATCTTTCACT